TTTAAAATACTTGAAAACTTTCAAATTGGTCCCTGTACTAATTCATTAAACTCTTTTTAGTTCCTGAAAGTTAATAATTACTTTTGAATTGGTCTCTTATCTCTATCCAATAATAGTTAGAACACATTTCAAACTTTCTAATTGGTCCTTGCACCAATTCATTAAAATTCATTTCAATTCCTGAAAGTTAATAATAATTTTCAAATTAGTCCATAACCAATAATAGTCAACATTGTCTTTCAAATTGGTAGGGACCAAATTGAAAGGTCGAGGGACCAATTTGAAGTGTTGTCACGTTACAGGGACCAAATTGAAGAATTTTGTTTTAATGTAATTTTTTAAATACTTGAAAATTTTCAAATTGGTGCTTGTACTTATTAACAAAAACTCATTTTTGTCCCTAAAAGTTAATAATTACTTTCAAATTGGTCTCTATCCAATAATAGTCAGCACACATTTCAAACTTTCAAATTGGTTCTTACACCAATTCATTAAAATTCATGAATGTTCTTGAGAGTTTATAATAATTTTCAAATTAGTCTATATCCAATAATAGACATTGTCTTTTAAATTGTTAGAGACCAAATTGAAAGGTTGGAGGAAACATATGAATAGTGTATTTGAAATTAAATTGAAGGGGTTTCTTTTTTGAAAAGGGAAACATATGAACATTGTCTCTCTCTTCTCCAGCACTTATAGCCTCCTCATCCCCGACTTATGCTCCACCCTCCTATTCGCTTTACCGTCGCCTCCTTCCCTCCAAATTTTGAACTCAAGATCCTCCTATAAATGGTGAACAATTTTTTGCACAACTTGTGATTGGTCCGAAGAAGCATTAGTCTTTGAAGGTGAATAGGGGACTCAGATGAGACTTTTGTTCATGTTGGGTGTTTTAACATTGGTTTGATTGAAATTCACTTGGAAAAGATTCAAGTTAGCAACATGGGACTTGTTGGGGGTTGGACACTTTGTACAATGTGAAAAACTCTTGGTGCTCTTTTCTGCTATTGCTAAGGGGTGTAGGTTGTTGAAGAAGCTTCACATTGATGGGTGGAGGATGAATATGATAAATGATGATGGGTTGATAGCGATTGCCAAACATTATTTTAATTTGTAGGAGCTTATGTTGATTGATGTTTATCCCTTTTTCCTAGCTTGATGGTGATTGCTTCCAATTGCAAGAATTTGGAGAGGTTGGCTCTTTATGGGATTGAAACCTTGGTGATGTGTGAAATAAATAGGTAATACACAAGAAAGAGGGTTGAATTGTGTGTTTAAAAAGTTTTGCTTATAAAACATTAGTTATATGAATCAAATGAACAACAAGTATAAGGCTTAGCAAGGAAGATAGAAAGCACACAAGTTTATACTGGTTCACTCTTTATTAAAGATCTATGTTTAGTGTTGTCTTTCACTGAAGGAATTCACTACCCAAACACCAAATGTAGACCAAGTATCTATAGCCTCTCCATTAACTTCCAATCTGATAGAACCCAATTCAAAGTAGCAAATCTAGCTTATGATTATGTCATTTGAATTATGTTATTTGAATTTATTTTCACAGCTTATCTTTAGTTAGGATTTATCATTTGAATTCTATTTCATAGTTTATCTTTAGGATTTAGTTTAGGATTATGTTATTTGAATTTATTTTCACAGCTTATCTTTAGTTAGGATTTATCATTTGAATTCTATTTCATAGTTTATCTTTAGGATTTAGTTTAGGATTATGTTATTTGAATTTTGTTATCATAACTTATTTTTAGGATTTATCTTTTTTTATCAATTTTTGGGAGTGAGTTGAGGGAGATGATAATAAATATAAAGTAGCTTGAGAGAGAGGGGGATTATTGGAGAAATTTTATTGGATTGTAATTAGAGCCAGTGCTCTAGGAGAAGGAGGCAGTAGATTAAATTATCAATATCTACTTTTTATTTGAAATAATAGTACCCACCCATTTTTGGGTTTCCATCATCAGTCCGACTTGTCGGATAACTCAACATGGTCTCTAAGGTTGATGCATTGGAATCCCAAGTCACAACTTTGGATGCCCAATTTCAAGAATTGCAATCCTCAATTGCTAATCTCCAGCAATCTGTCATCAAGGAAGCACATGCGAATGAGATTGAACATCGCAAGAATGTTAAGTGTCGATGCATGATCACTCAGTGGTTAAAACGAAATGGCGATAATCAATCCCCCAAGGCTAATAAGCCTCCTCCCCCTTAGTCATCTTTGATGACTACTTTCCTTTGATGGTATGGACCCATGTGATTGGATCGTTTGAGCAAAAATATATTTCCATGTGCATGGTACCCCACCAAAAACAAAAATTCCTCTTACCTAATTGTCAATGGAAGGTATTGGAAAAAAATCCAAGTCCCATATTGACTAGAGATTAGGCAATTAAATAGTATATAAGTGAAAAGTAACCCTTACCTTACAAGCTGGTTTTGAAGGATTACAAAATCAGCTTGTAAGGTAAGGGTTGCTTTTCACTTATATGCTATTTAATTGCCTAATCTATAATCGATATGGGACTTGGATTTTTTCCAATACACCCTCTCACGTTCAACATTATTGGGCTTGGTATGTGGATAAATGGTGGGTGGCCCTTTTTTAATAATCTAGGAAAGGTGGTCCTTTTTAAGGATCTAGGATAGCTCTGATATCATCTTAGAATAATGGATTTGAGCTTAAGTCAACCCTTCAAAATCGACTTGTAAGGTGAGGGTTGTTTTCAACTTATATACTATTTAATTTCCTAATCTCTAGTCTATATGGGACTTGAGTTTTTCCCAATAGAAGGGCATGTCATCCATTGGTTTTCCTTGCTTTGGGAGGTTGTTCCAAGACTCTCGTAGGAGAAGTTAAAGGAGGTGTTGCTCGACTGCTTCAGGGACATAAATATCTGAAATCCATATGAACAATTGGCCACACTTACACAAGAGCATTGTATTGCATAATTTATTGAAGAGTTTGAGTTTTTGTCCTCCTAAGTCCCTTGCCTAGTTGTACCAAAAGCCATTGGATATTTTATGCATGGGTTAAAGCCCGAAATTAGATGTTGGGTGTGTCTTTACCAACAAGAAACAATTAATAGGGCTATCTCTAGCTTGAGACGTGGAGTGTGCTCTATATGGGTGGATAGCAAGGTGAAAGGCTTTGGTCTAAAACCAATTGTCAAAACTGAATTACCATAAGCCCAAGACTCTGGTTTCTTCCTCTTCTCATCCCACCTTTCATCATAGGAATAAATACCAAAATTCGAAACCTGAACCCAAGTCATATGAGTCAAAGTTAGAGGTTGACAATAACAGACACCTGGGAGATGTGAGGAGTAGGGGAACTTGCCACCTATCTTCTCAAGAATTGTTCGACAGAAGGAAGAAGGGGTTGTGTTATTGTTGCAGTCAAAGATATCATCCTATGCATCAAAGCCCAAACAAACAAGTTAGACTCACCTTGCTTGTTGAAGACAAAGTTATAAATGGAGAAGGCGAGATCAAGTTGGTAAAGGGCAACATGGAGGAGGAACAAGAGAATGTGAATGTATCAATACACTACTAGAAGAGGCCAATAGATGATTTCAACCTTGAGGAAAAGGCTGATATCATAGGAGAGGACAATGATAGAACCCAATTCAAAGTAGCAAATCTAGTTTATGATTATGTCATTTGAATTATGTTATTTGAATTTATTTTCACAGTTTATCTTTAGTTAGGATTTATCATTTGTATTTCGTTATCATAGTTTATCTTTAGGATTTAGTTTAGAATTATGTTATCTGATTTTTTTTTTTTATCATAGCTTATCTTAGGATTTATCTTCTTTTATCAATTTTAGAGTTAGTTGAGGGAGATGATAATAAATAGAGTAGCTTGAGAAAGAGGGGGATTATTGGATTGTAATAGGAGCCAATGCTCTAGGATAAAGGCAACAGATTAATCTGGTAATCTCTATTTCTTATTTGAAATAATAATACCCACTCGTTTTTGTGTTTCCGTCACAATCACAACACTATACTGGACTTCCAAGTATTCTTTCTTAACAAACCTCTTCAGGCTTATCAACACTCTAAAGTTGAAGATTTATAGTGTTGAACTCACTGGGATGAGGATAGATGTTAAAAAACACTTGGGATCATTAAAGAATCACTAACACAAAGGTTACAAAGAGTTTCAAGGATTGAAAAAATGAGCACTTTAGAATATGCTATTTGACTGTTTAACCTTTTTGTTTGTGGAATGTGTTTATTATTAGATGAAGACTGATTCTAAAGTTATTGTTAACTTTCAGGGAATAAATGAATTTTAATGAATTGTTGTAGGGACCAATTTGAAAGTAATTAACTTTTAGGGACTAAAATGAATTTTAATGAATTGCTACAGGGGACCAATTTGAAAGTTTAGTACTTTTAAAAAAATACTATTTAAACAAAATTCTTCAATTTGGCCCACGTGGCAACACTTCAGACCGGTCATTGTGACATGTCATGTCACGTTGGATGAATAGTAGCTACAGGTGTGGCACCTAACGTGCCATGTCAACACCGTTAATAGCTTCCGTTAACGATCTTTCACTTCAAGGACTTTTATTTTAATTTATCGTCTTTCAAGGAAAGAGTAATAACCGCCTCACTTTCAAGGACCATATTGAATATTTAACCAAAGATCTTTCTACAAAAGTTGCTAAGAGGAGGAATCGTTTTCCAATATATGGAGTGATCAAATGCATCTACTTTCAATGCAGTCATCCAGACAAAATCATGCACTAATATTGATCCAATTCAATAATTTTTCATTCCATTGAATGTAAAAGATTTCTACAAAGAAAGCGTTGAAAAATGTTGGGTGATGTAAACCTGTTTTTTGTTTTTTGTTTTTGTTTTTTTTGTTTAAATTTCTTGACATTGTTATATATTCTGTCATGGTCTTGCACCCCTAAAAAGAATTATGATCATGAATTTTCAGAACATAAATCTTTTATATTTTCACAGGAATCAGGCACTCCAGGACAATCCATGGATAACCATTATAGCATTTCGTCACCACATGCCAACATTGGTATTCTGGGAGCTTTTCACGGTCAAGTCAGTTCAATCTCCGACAACACAGAAAATGGTTGCAAACCCTACTTATCCTTCGCACAGAAGCCATCTGAAACCTCTGCACTTCAACAAGACATCCAACAATACATAAAAAAGTTCGAAAAAAATGTTTTGAAGTCTTCAACAATGAGATCAAATTATTGTGATCCTCGTGAGTATAGTTTTCAATCATCAGCTGAGAGCTTGTTAATTGATAGGGTATTGCTAAAAAGTAGAATCGAGTCTGGTAGTTTGTTACTCTGTGGTAGTGGTAACAAATTGTCATCTAAGTTTTGTGGGACAGGGATTTGATTTAGAGGCATAGATTAAGCAACTCATATATATGCCTTGTAATTTTGGCCTTATACTTTACAGATGTAATATAAATCTAAATGTTCATGTGCTTGCTTGTCCATGTAATGTCTTCTCTTTATCTTTATCTTAACACGTTCACTCGAAGGCCTAGAATGAACCCTCTCGTGTTGAACTTGGTTAATTTGAGTTGTAAAAATTGATTCAATTTGAAACTCCAGTCATTTTTAAGCTAGAATTTAAATCAATTTAAGCTCGGAACAATTTAAATTAACTCCATTTACAGAAGTCATTTTATTTCAAGTTTTCATTTTAATATTATCTACACATGTAAAGCATTTATACTCATAACACTAATTTTGACTCGACTAGATTCATTACCGGTCTTAACTCTAACCTATATTATTAGCGCTGAAAATAAGTGTAATAGGTTAATTTTATATATTGATCAAATCACAAGCCTCTTTTATAACTCATTTATTTCTCCTTATAATAATTTTAAAACTATTATAGGTGAAACCTTTCTTACTCTAAATCAACCTAGGTTGAGTTAAGTTGGCATTTTCAAGACATTCTTATGTTCAACGCAGTGCAACTTTTTTTTTTGATTAGTTAAAAAGCTATTAAATAAATTGATTCACTTTGTATTTTTGTGAAATTCACAAGACATTAGATTGGTAATGTTTCATTCAAGTCTAATGATTTATGTGAAGCAAGTCTTAAAGGAAAACAAGCGAAAATTTGTTTTCAATTCAAAAACTGTTTCTATAAGAAGAGCACTTGAACTTCTTTATATTGATTTATTTGGTCCATCTCGAACTGCGTAAGTAGGTGAAAAGGATATGGATTGGTAGTAGTACTAGATTGATATGAGTTATATTTATAGCTCATATTCAGGCTTTTTGTATATTCTATAAATGTGTTTAAAATAAAAATAAAAAAGAAAGTATTCATTACTTCAATCAAAAGTGAATATTTAAAAATGAACTTTTTCAAAAGTTTTATGAAGAAATTGGTATTCTTCATATTTTCTCTACACCTAGAACACTTATAAAACAGTGTTGTAGAGAGAAAGAACAAGTCAGTACAAGAGATAGTTAGAACCACACTCAATAATATCACTTTGAAGAACTTTTGAACTAAAATAGTGAATACTAGTTGTTATCTTCAAAACATAATATATACACCTGTCTTAAAGAAGACTTACTATAAATTATGGAAAAATAGAAAACCCAATATTTACTATTTTCATCCTTTTGGTTGTCAACACTTTATGTTAAATAGAAAAATAATTTGAAAAAATTTAACTCACGAATTGATAGTGACATTTTACTTAGATACTCAAAAACTTTTAAGGAAGATAGAGTCTACAACTCAAAAACCTTAATTGTTGAAGACTCTGTCCTTGTAAAATTTAATGAGAATAAGCCTAATAAGTAATTATCAAAGCTAGACAATGATTTTGCAAATCTAAACATCAAGGAAGATGATGAAGCAAAAGTAGAATCTAATGAGGATGGATTGTCTAGTCAAGAACAACCTAAATCCACAAGGAATAACTTACAATTAAGGAACTATCATCCTAAAGATCGAATCATTGGAAACATCCAAGACATAGTCAAGACATGGTTAACATTCACAGAAGCTCATATTGTTCTCATATAAAAAATAGAACCAAAGACAATAAATGATGTATCTAATGAAAGCTAGGTAAAATCAATGCAAGAAGGGCTCAATTAATTTTAGAAAAATAAAGTATGGAATCTTATCTCTCTTCCAAAGGACAAATTTATCATTGGAACTAATTGGGTGTTCAAAAGCAAGTAAGATGAAGTTGGAAACATTGTGAGAAACAAGGCAAGGTTACTCTCAACAAAAAGGTATAGACTTTTGTTGGGGTTGAGCATCTAACTGTGCTAAAGGAAAAATATTTTCTATGGGACGTTGTAACCTGAAAAATTTCAATCTTACGACCAATGGTTTGGACTACCTTTTTGAAAAATCTCATTAATTAAGGAATGCCCGAACGCCAAACTAATCCTCAAATAATGGTTTTGAAAAATGAGTTCATGGAGTTGCCACCAATGTTTTACTCAAAAAATTGGAAAAAGAAAAGATTTTGAAATTAAAATAAAGGTCTTCATAGCCAAAATTGGGTTTGGGAGTCGGTTACGTGTAAGGAAGGTATCAGGCATCCCTACAATGCCCTAAATTGGCACCCTATGTTGAAATTAGCATAATAATAAATAATATTTTAATTATCTTATCCTATTTCATTATTTAATATTATTTACATGACAAAAAATACCTATTATCTATATGATTATTTATTGGTATATAAGAATTATAAATAAAATAAATAAAATGATAAATAAAGAACGTAAAAGAATAAATAAAAGAGAATAATTTAGAACCTTTGAAGCAAGTCTTTTATAAGGAAACCTTCCCAAATGCGTGCGGGGCATGTTTTCGCAGCCCTTCACTCTACAAAAACCTCACTATCACTCAAAGGTTTATATAGAGAGGGGGGAAGCTATGCAATTTTCTTCTTCTCTAATCCCTTGGCAAGGGGGTTTCTTATACATCCAACTAAGAGAGAGAAGCATAAGAGAGCTATCCGATGTAGTACTAAATTTTATAAAAATACAATCTTTTCCTAGGCATCGTAGAGGACCTCTAGAGAACTCATTAACCGTTGGATCGTGCTGTTTTTTTATGGTATCCTCAAAATATATTGATCTTCAATTTCAACGGTTGGATCGTTGAAATTAGGTCTGTAGAGAGATATACTATCATAACAAAAATGTCTGGTATAAGATTCATATTTTCCAGTTACAATATGAGGCCTCTGGAGAAATCATTAGCCGTTGGATCATGCTAAAATTTTTATGATATCTTTTTAATACATTGATCTTTAACCACAATGGTCGGATCATGAAAATTAAGTCTTTAGCAAGAGATATTATCATATCAAAAATGTTGCCCAAAGAAAAATTTTATGAAAAGGGGAACAGGCTATTCCAACATTCGGAACAGCCTGTTCCACGCCTCGTGATGGAATCATGCTTAGGAAGGCAAGAGGTGACAACCTATCCTGTGAACAACTTCTTTAGAGGGGACGCTTGCCTCTAAACTTGAGACTTCCTTTTCCTTTTCTTTAGTCCATGAAGGAGGAGTTTTTTTTTTCTTTTTTTGATTCTTGTTTTTGTTTTCTTTGTTTTTCCTCTCCTTCCCTCTTAGATTTCATCTTAATTTGATCCTCACTCACTTGAGAAGGTGATAGAGGACACAAAACAATTTTTCTTCCCAAGTGTTGGAAACTTATCTTATTGGTAAGGCCATCAAGGATGGTTTTCTTATCAAATTGTCAAGGTCTCCCAAGTAAAATATGACTAGCCTCCAATGGCACTATATCACATATAACTTCATCTTTATGTTTGCTAATGGAGATTGGTATGCTTGCTTGTTGGTTGACTACAATTCCTCCTTCCTCATTAATCCATTGCAATTTATAGGGCCTAGGATGGGGTACTGTGGTTAAGGCTAACTTTTCAACCAATCTAGTGCTACAACAATTGCAACTAGACCCAAATCTACAATGAGAGAACAAGTATTTTCTAAAACTTTGCATCTTGTGTGAAATAAGTTCTCCCTTTAAGATTGGTTAATGTCACTAGTTTGGTTTTTAAGAAGCCTCCTAACCATGAGTAAGTCTCCACTACAAGGGAAGATTTCTTCTTCCAAATCTATGACTTCATCCTCACTACTTGAAGTAGAAGAGGAAGAAGTAGCTTCATCAAGGCTACTATAGTGGTCTTGGCCTCTTAAAATCATGGTTTTCTTTGCGGGACATTGAGAAGCAATATGTCCTCTTCCAAGACACTTGAAACACTTGATGTCATTGGACTTAGATTCTTTAGATGGAGCTTTAGGAGAAGACGTTTTTTCTTGTTCCTTTTCTTTTTATTTGGGATAAGGTTTGGAAGAGAGGCCCCCCTTCTTGAAATTCTTGAAATAAGAGGGAGTGGAATCCTTTATAAAACTTTTCCTTTTGAGTTGATGCTCCACTCTTGAACAAAGTTGAACAAGTTCTTGAAATCTTTAAAAGGCAAAAGTTCAATTTCGTCTCTTATTTCAAGACTTATACCACTTTGAAATCTAGAAATGGTAGTCCTCTCTTCTTCCCTTATACCTGCCGTCATCATAAGTAACTCCATTTGTTGCCTATATTCTTCCACACTTAATGACCCTTGTTTCAACCTTTGAAGCTTATCCATAAGCTCATGATCATAGTATGGGGGAATATGCCTCCTTCTTATGGCACTACGGAGTTCATTCCAATATTGAATTAGGGGCTCATGATGCAATCTTCTTTCTTTTTCCAAAGAGGTCCACCAATACATAACATGCCCTTGGAAGCTAAGGGTTACTAAAGAAACCTTCTTCTCTTCACTTACCCCATGGCAAGAGAAGAGTTGCTCAACCTTTATTTCCCAATCCAAATAAGTTTCAACATTGTCTTCGCCATAAAATGAAGGAAGGTTGAGGTTAGGTTCCTTATTGGAAAACTCCCTTGGCCTATGGGTCCTAGGTGGCCTTTGATAATAATCATTGAAGTTAGTGGAATAACACACAGAAGGGGGGGTTGAATGTGTGTGTGCGAGAACAAAGAAATTTTAAAATCGTTTTCACAACGAGACTCTTTTCCGTCTAAAGACAATATTATCTTGAAGACTTGAAAATGTGCAAAGTTGGCTCAACAAAAGATTTTTCATCTAAAGGTTTATCGTTTGCACAAGGAAAATGTTTCTGAAAAGGAAAATGTTCATTAAGATGATAAGTTATGCAAGTATATTTTTCGTCTGAAGATAGTGGTAGTGAAAAATAATTGGTGGACGAAGTTTTCAGTATGATATAACAACTAAATTAGATAACATATCACCAAACAATAGATAACTAGACAATGTCAAAATTTAACAAATAATAAATATTAAATTGATGACATGACCAAAATTTTGTATTTTTTAAAAATAGGAGGCTAAATATTTTTATTTTAAAATAAAAGTACTGGTAGATTGACTAAAATAGAGAAACGAAAGACATTCCTCTAAGGTGTGATAATATAAGTGTTATAAATCTAACTAAGAATCCTATCTTGCATTCTAGAACTAAAGACATAAAGATAAGACATCATTTTCTTAGAGATCATGTTCAAAAAGTAGATTGCATTATGGAGTTTATAGAGACAATTAAACAATTAACTG